AGGCTGAGTCTTCAATACTTATTCAAGCAAAAGGAGTTGAATTTGAGGCAGAGGAGATGGTTGGAGTTATTGAAAGATTATGATGTTACTATTTTGTATCACCCGGGGAAGGCCAATGTGGTGGCCGATGCATTGAGTAGAAAGCCCGTCAGCATGGGTAGTCTTGCTTATATTCCGGTCAGCCAGAGACCGCTTGCTTTGGATATTCAGGCCTTGGCCAATCGATTTTTGAGGTTGGATATTTTTGAGCCTAGCAGAGTGTTAGCTTGCACGGTCGCTCGTTCTTCATTATTGGAGCGTATCCGTGATCGGCAGTTTGATGATCCCCATTTGTGTGTCTTGAGAGACACGGTGCAGCGAGGAGGTGCCACGAAGGTGACCTTAGATAGCGATGGTGTTTTGAGATTGCAGGGGCGAGTTTGTGTGCCCAATGTTGATGGGATTCGAGAGCTGATCTTAGCGGAGGCCCACAGTTCTCGGTATTCTATTCACCCGGGCGCCGCGAAGATGTATCAGGATCTGAGGCAGCATTATTGGTGGCGCAGGATGAAGAAAGATATTGTTGCATACGTGGCTCGATGTTTGAACTGTCAGCAGGTTAAGTATGAGCATCAGAGGCCTGGTGGTTGGTTTCAGAGGATTGAGCTTCCCGAGTGGAAGTGGGAGAGAATTACCATGGATTTCGTTACCGAACTTCCGTTGACTCGGAAGAAGTTTGATGCGATATGGGTTATTATTGATAGGCTGACCAAGTCAGCACATTTCATTCCTGTGGCAGTCTCCTATTCATCCGAGAGGTTAGCTGAGATTTATATCCGGAAGATTGTTCGCCTTTATGGTGTGCCGGTATCTATCATTTCGGACCGGGGTACGCAGTTTACCTCGCGTTTCTGGGGTGCAGTTCAGCGAGAGTTGGGCACACGGGTTGAGTTGAGCACAGCGTTCCATCCTCAGACGGACGGTCAGTCCGAGCGGACTATTCAGATTTTGGAGGATATGCTCCGGGCTTGTGTTATCGACTTTGGAGGTTCGTGGGATCAGTTCTTGCCCTTAGCGGAGTTTGCCTACAACAACAGCTACCAGTCCAGCATTCAGATGGCTCCATATGAGGCGTTGTATGGTAGGCGATGTCGGTCTCTAGTTGGATGGTCTGAGCCGGGAGAGGCTCGATTATTGGGTACAGATTTAGTTCAGGAGGCCTTGGATAAGGTCAAGATCATTCAGGACAGGCTTCGTTCGGCTCAGTCGCGGCAAAAGAGTTATGCAGATCGTAAGGCTCGAGATGTAGCTTTCATGGTTGGTGAGCGGGTATTGCTTCGAGTGTCGCCTATGAAGGGCGTGATGAGATTTGGGAAGAAGGGCAAGCTTAGCCCTAGGTTCATTGGCCCGTTTGAGATTCTCGATCGTGTGGGAGAGGTGGCTTATAGACTTGCCTTGCCGCCTAGCTTGTCAGTCGTACATCCAGTGTTTCATGTGTCCATGCTTCGGAGGTATCACGGCGATCCAGCCCACGTGTTAGATTTCAGCACTGTCCAGTTGGACAAGGATCTGTCTTATGAGGAGGAGCCGGTAGCTATCCTAGACCGGCAGGTTCGACAGTTGAGGTCGAAGAGTTTTCCTTCAGTGCGTGTTCAGTGGAGAGGTCAGCCTCCAGAGGCATCGACTTGGGAGTCCGAGTCTGATATGCGGAGCCGTTATCCTCATCTTTTTCCTGACTCAGGTACTTCTTTCTTTTGTCCGTTTGAGGACGAACGGTTGTTTTAGAGGTGGAGAATGTGACGACCCAAAGGGTCATCACCTGTTTTCTCTCTTTTCCGCGCTTTCGAGGCCTTGAAAACCTCACTTTTAGTCGCCTCGATTTGCATGCGCAGTCCGGGCGCGTAGCCGGAAAGCTTAAATATGAATTATGTGTAAAAATTGATGAATTTTGATATTAATATGATTAAAATTGACTTTGGTCAACATTTTGGGTAAATGGGCCCGGACCCGTAATTTGACGGTCCCCGAGGGTCCGTAGGAAAATATGCGACTCGGGCGTATGCCCGGAATCGAAATCCGAGGTCCCGAGCCCGAGAAATGAATTTTTTAAAAGAAATTGTTTTTCTGAAATTTATATGGAAATTTGAAACAAAAATGGATTAGAAAGCGTTGGTATCGGGCCCGTATTTTGGTTCTGGCGCCCGGTACAGGTCTTATATGTGGTTTAAGCGCTTCCTGTGAAATTGGTCGAAATCGGACGTCGTTTGACGTGTTTCGGACCTAAATATCTAATAATGAAAGTTTAAGAAGTTTGATGAAAAAGTGATGATTTTGAGGTTTGATTCCTCGTTTATGACGTTATTTTGGCGATTTGATCGCACGGTTAAGTTCGTAGGATGTTGTTGCGTTAGTGTGTGTGTTTGGTTAGGAGCCCCGAGGGCTCGGGAGTGTTTTCGGAGGTGTTCGGGGTGGTTTTTGGACTTAGGATGATAGCAGATTTTCTGCAATTTTTGCACAGGCATTCCCTTCTTCGCGTTCGCGGCCTTCAGCTCGCGTTCGCGATGCTTCCCAGGTTCCCTTCTTCGCGTTCGCATCACAACTCTCGCGATCGCGTAAGCCAATTTCAGGACCCCCAGAAATTCCTTCTTCGCGTTCGCATTCCACAGTTCGCGAACGTGTAACTTCACTAGCTTCCTCATCGCGTTCGCGTGGCTCTTCACGCGTTCCCGTATTACAATTTCTGGACCCCTCAGCTTTCCCCTTCGCGATCGCGTTTCCCCAATCGCGAACGCGATGCCCTGTCCAGTTGCCCATCGCGAACGCGATCTCTCTCTCGCGAATGCGTAGGGCAAATTCACCCAGTTATATTTTTAAGTTTTCAGAATCAAAACATACGGGTTTCACTCAAAATTCACACGAGCTCTCTTTTTCCCCAAGCTCTAGGAGTCCATTGAAGCCCCCATTCTTCAAGACCACTTGGGTTAATAAATCCCCACTTATTTCCTTCATTTTTTTTCATTAATTAGTGAATTCCTAAGCTTAAATCCCATGGATTGGGGTGGAAATTGGGGAAAATGGGTAGAATTAGGGCTTTTCAATTTTCTTTGATTTAGACCTTGTTTTGGGGTCGAATTTGGAAACAAATTGTATATTCGGGCTCGTGGGGGAATGGGTGACATGAAATTAGTTCGAACCTCGAGTTTTGACCAAGCGGTCCCAGGGGCGATTTTGGAATTTTTGGAAGAAAGGTTGGGAATCTATATTTAGGCATTGGGTTTGATTTGTTTAGCTATTATTGATACTATAAAGTCGTTATTTCATAGATTTGATTGAGTTGGAGCTGAATTCGAGAGGGAAAGCGGTCGTTGTGGATTGATTTAGCCGTGGAAGTTGAGGTAAGTGTTTGATCTAACTTTGGCTTGAGGGAATAGGATTAGAGTATTGTTTGCTAATTGCTAATTGTCGAGTACGGTGTATAGGCATGGTGACGAGTATCTATACACTGGTGTCTAGCATAACCGTGAGTCCTTATTTGTGCTTATTCTAATTTTGTTGTAACTCTCCCTTGTGTAATCGATGGTTTCTATATAATGTGAAGGGTATGAGAAAGAATTATGATTTATGAACTCTTTGGAGCGTTGGATCGAATGATAAAGTAATTATTGAGTAAGAAATGAAAGAAAGAGAAAGAAATGTGATTATTCCCTTGCCGGGCTGTATTCGTGTAGTGATTATCTCCCTTGCCGGGATGTGAAAGTTATTGTTGTTGTTCCCTTGCCGGGATTTAACTGTTTACTTGTGTTTCCCTTGCCGGGATTTCTATTACTGTTTGTCTATCCCCTCGCCCCATTGGTTGTGATTGTTGCTTGGGTGAGGAAGAGTGATAAAGCACGAAGGTTGATGTCGTGCACGATTTGTGTTGAGGATATGTTAATGCACGAAGGGACATTCCGTGCCATGTTTTGATTATTAATGCACGAAGGAACATTCCGTGCCATGTTTTGATTATTAATGCACGAAGGAACATTCCGTGCCATGTTTTCATTATTCATGCACGAAGGAACATTCCGTGCCATGTTTTGATTACTAATGCACGAAGGGCCATTCCGTGCCATGATATGAGTGTTTATGTGAGGGAAAGCACGAAGGATGGTGCCGTGCAACTGTTGTTTTATTTCTACTCTCGTACACATTGTAGTTGTACCGTTTCATTCCTTATTTATTGATTTTGTATTCTAGACTGTTACAGCCCCTACAGCATGCTCCCCTCCCTCTTGACTGGTTAATTTCTGTATTCTTTTTTTTCTATTGCAAATATATGTATTGAACTGCACAGGTTTGTTTGGTAGTCCGGTCTTGCCTCGTCACTACTTCGCCGGGGTTAGGCCAGGCACTTACCAGCACATGGGGTCGGTTGTGCTGATGCTACACTCTGTGCATCTTTTTGCACAGATTTCGGAGCCGGAGCAGCTTTTGGACAGCAGTAGGAGTTTTGGGAGCTGACTTCAGTCCAGAGATCCCGAGGTAGCCTTGCTGGCGTCCGCATGGCCCGGAGTCTCTTCTATCTTTACTTTAGTTTGTTATCCTTTGTACCGGGACAAACAGAATTATGTTTTTATTCAGACGTTGTATTTAGCATTCTCTAGACGTTCGTGAGTTTGTGAATCCAGTTCTTGGGTAGAGGATTCTGTTAAACTTTCGCATTTTCTTCAGTTAATTATATATTGAGACTTCCGCTTTATCATATTATGTTTTGATTTTATTAAATGATCGATAATTGCTAAAAGAAGTGAATTAAGTTGGCTTGCCTAGCTCCTATTAGTAGGCTCCATCACGACTCCCGAGGGTGGGAAATTCGGGCCGTGACATTAGTCCAACGTTATTCAAGACTATGAATTTAGCTACTGTTTCTACGAAATTAAGGCATTCAACATATCCTTTGAACAAAGAAATATGAATCATTTGGTTTTCTGCAGGTTTGAGGGCTGACTTGAAGTAAAATTGTGTAATACTAGCTGGTTTTAGAGCTGAAATTGACATGTATGAAAAATAAAATTGCACAATACACCAAAAATAAAAGAACTTAGCACTAACCGTTGTAGGAGGAGATGCAAAAATCCCAGCAAATTGTTCTGGTATTGACCCTTCCTTCATTATCATGTACGCTTTGAGAGTATGCATCAATTGATTGTACTTCTCTTGGCATCCAGAAGAAGAACATCCAACATTATTACTCACAATTCTTATATTACCAAGACGAAGATTTGTCTCTTTGAAAGTATTGCTTGGAGTAGCTCCTAATCCCAAACATCTCACCCTTTCAAGATGCTCTTTGCCTAGCACCTTACCAACAACATCATTTGGAGAAATTTCAGACTCATCCACTGTACTTTCACTCACTGCTAGCTCAATTTTTTCCTAAACACAATACACGTCAAAAAAATCTAAGCCAACATCATACAGTTGAAACAACCTTGAAAGCAACAGTTGAAGCCTTCAACTGTTTCTCACAACAGATCATAAAATTTTGAGTGTGGATTAATTTGATCAAAGTAGTAGAAAAGAAAGTTGGTTTTACAAATCATTGGTACTATTATATATAGGGAAGAGTAGAGTTTTAGGTATTAATGGAGAATATTCTTGGACCTGTTGTTAAGGAGCTACAGTTGCCTCCAGGATTCAGCAAATGATGCAGGTGTAATGGTCTTATATTGTAACTTACACATATTTCTTTTGCCTCCTTATTTACATATGATCCATTTTTTTTCGTATGTGTAGCAAGATAAAGTTGTGCTCGTCCAGGCTTACTCCCTATCTCAGCTATCTATGTATGAAAATAAAAATAAGTCAGAATAGTCTAATTAAAGTAAAAGAAATAGATACAATATCTAAAATTTAAATAGTAAATTAAGGTAAATAATGTGACATCTTTCACCATTTCAGCCCTTCTTCTAGAATTAGGTTTGGAGTCACCGGTGTGTGGAACCATTTGTTTCTTCCGATTTTCGGCATTTCTTTTACACATGTTCTAACAATAAGATATATTTCAGTCAATTATATAAATGAATAATCATATTTTTATGCATTTCAATGTGACGTTTCAGAAAAATACCTGAGTTTCTTCTTTATAACGGTAGTTCACAAAGGAAGTCCATTGATCCCGAGTAATACCTACCGGAACATTATCCATAATCTCATCTTTAGTTTTAAGTGGGTCTTTAAACTCATACCACAACTTCTGCCTACTTGCAGTCCACTTCTTTGAAATAGAGCAATAAACATATCCTCATGCAACTTCCTCAATGGTCATAAAACATAAATGAGACTTCAAAAATAAATTTTGGTTAGTTTATCTTTTATATACAAATATAAAAATAAAAGACAAAATAGAGATATAGTTATAAAGATATAGAACTTATACCTTTATAATGTTATTAAAGCAGTCGTTAAAGTATGACTTAGGCATATCCGACCATTTATCAAAGCCAATTGGAAATATGGTACAGTCAGTTGCTAAAAGGCCACATACACCTGCAAGAAGGCCTTGTGTTTCGCCAATCGGATCCAAGCAATCAAACTCCACCACAACACGTTCTCCCTGAGGTAAACTTAATGCTTCTCTAGTCTTGAATTTTAGCATTTTGGTATCTCCATGTGAATCTTTAATAAATAAAAATAAAAGGAAAAAAGTGAAGGTAAGAGATATGGTATAAAGAGGTCTTTTTGATAATTTAACCATTCCAACAGGTTAGCCAAGTGTTAAGTTCTGAAGCTATGGTTAATTCTGGATCCATCATTCCATGAGTATTTCTGTTTATTGAAAATGACACAACATGTTGAAGGAAGCAGAGAAAGCCAATTCACATTAACCTTAAAATTCACATCTGATACAAGTAAAATTGACTGAAGACACTCCATAATGTGGATCTAACAAAGATAATTGTGAAATCAAATAATATTATACACCAGAGACAGAGACAAATGCAGGGAACAAGCAAAAAGTGTCCATGGACCATTAGCAACAAACAGACAAACTAAGATAGAGTAAAAGAAAACTAAAAGATAACAGATATGAAATTAACTACATTGAGGAATATCAATAATGCATTCAAAGACAGTAAACATCTCTATACCAAAAAAAAAGGAAAATGAGTAGAGCTAAGCCATTATCCTTCAGTGACCAGAGAAATAATTTTGACTTCACACTCCCAAAAGCCATCTGAGGCACATGTCAATGTCCCAACTTTAAAATCCCAACTCTAAAACTGGTGGTTGGGTTCCTGCTGCTCTTGTCCTGGGTTAGTAATTAAATCCCTCTCATTGCATATATATAATCAACAAGTATATAGCATTTTCATTTGTCAATAGCTAGTTATATAAATTTCTTCATAACAGCTAAAGAGTTTAGCTACGAAACATCAATATTTCTCATGTTTAAAACATATACTAGCCAGCTCTTATTAGCAAAACTTAACACTTCTTTAGCAAAACCAACAGGTTAGCCATTCAAGAATATAGGGAGATGAAGGCAGCATCTTCAAGTTCAAATATAAACAACTTGATTGAAGACCTAGAAGAACTCCATATTCTCCAGATCATTTAGAAAGATTGCCAGATAGGAAACATACAAGATAGGAAGCATACAAGAAACAGGAAGTAACCTAGTCCTTGCTTGAATCTAGCAAATAGTAACAGCCACACATAGGAGCAGATAGGTGAAGCAGCAACAGATGTACATCAGTCCTACAGAAGATGCATTGGACAAGTGCAAATAGATCCACTCACACCCCATGGGAAAACGAACTTTTGTTACTTAATGGAAGTAGAAATAACCAGAAATATCAGATAAAATTCAACAGATATGCCAAGAGCCACAATTAGACTCTAAAGTCCTATACAGCAACGAAAGGATAATGATTATCTATTCCATCGACAGTCCAATGATGTGAAGACACACGTTTAGCACGCGTATTGGATGTTGCTTGTGCTGGTGTGGGATTAATTGGAGGTTGAAATGAAGGAGCTGTCTGTCCCGTGGCCTGAAATGAAGGAGTTGTCTGTCCCATGGCCTGAAATGAAGGAGTTGGCAGTGTTGTGGCCTAAAATGAAGCGGTTTGCTGTCTTGTGGGTTGAAATGAAGGAGTTGGTAGTGATGTCGCCTGAAAAGAAGGAGTCGGCTGAATGCAAGGAGTTGTCTGCCCCATGGCCTGAAATGAAAGAGCTTGCTGTCTTGGCTGTGTTGTGGCCTGAAATGAAGCGGTTTGCTATCTTGTGGGTTGAAATGAAGGAGTTGGTAGTGATGTCGCCTGAAAAGAAGGAATCGGCTGAATGCAAGGAGTTGTCTGCCCCATGGCCTGAAATGAAAGAGCTTGCTGTCTTGGCTGTGTTGTGGCCTGAAATGAAGCGGTATACTGTCTTGTGGCTTGAAATGAAGGAGATGGTAGTGATGTTGCCTGACATGAAGGAGTTGGATGTGATGTAGTCGGGAATGAATGAGCCAATAGTGATGTCATATCTGGTGCCACATCAGTAGATTGTGAAGAAGACGCTGATTGAACTGACTTTTGTAAGTTCTGGAAACGTTTGGTCTTCGGCATATCTGCAATCAACAAAAAAATTAATAAGTAATAAAAATAAAAAATACTAAATACAAAATAAAGTACATATATGTAGAAGAAAAAAACAAACATACAAGGATACAGGAAAATTTACACGCCTATTCAGACATATGCTCATCTATTGCAATTTGGATATTCTCATAAGCATCATCAAAAAATTGTTCAAGTTCTTGTTGCTGGTATGGTTGATTCTCATATATTTCATTTTCATCAACCTCTCCTATAAATCTCTCGGCTTTAGATGTACAGCGACACTCCATTCTTTATCCGTTTCATCATCAACATAGTAAATCATATTTGCTTGAGATGCTTCAGTGTAAGGATCATCATCCTCACGATCACCAATATGAATCAATCTAGAAAAATTGACACAATTAAAATTCCAAGCATCTCTTTTGAACCCTCTATTCCGAGTAGTGTCTGCATGGCATTTGAAGAGCACGACTGTGAATCGATAATAATTAAGCTCAATAATATCTTCTAACTTCCCATAGTATGGCAAGTCTGCTTGCCTTGAAAATATTACTCCTACTACAACAAACAAAGATATAATTTTTGCATAAGTACAACACTTACAAAAAAGGCCATCAAAAGAGAATTGCAAGAACTAACCAGAAAATTATCTTTTTTCTCAAGAATAACCAGATTTTTTCTTTCAGTTTCTTCTTCTACTTGTTCTTATGCAATGTCAATGTGCAAATTGAATGATAGCTTCTAACCCCCCCCCCCCACACACACGCACCCCACACACACAAAGGGTAGCAAAAGAGAGTTGCAAAAACTAACCAGAAAATCTTCTTTTTCTCAGGGTGAAAACAGATTAACACAAAAAAGTGATTACAAATAACAGTTTTGGATAAGAAAACATATAGAAGATGGATAGATCTAACCTTTGAAAAAGAGAAATTAAGCTCTGATAGGTCCATTGCGGCGCAGCAGAAGAAAATTGTAACGAATGGAAATGAAGAAAATAGGCCCTAGTTTAGAATAATTACACTTGAGTCCCAAAAATAGTTGTTGCATTGATGTTTTACCCCGAAGTTAGCTTTTTGCACTTTTTCCCCTGTTCTTTAAATACCTGTTATGATTATTTTCAAAGACATGTTGAATGAAAATTGAGTCTTTTCCTTTCTCTGCATTTCATTTCTTCTTTTTAGTTCTTGTTTTCCATTTCCATGAGGATTCCAACCTGGGAATCGTTACAATTGGTATCTGAGCCGACGATTCTCGGCTGTTCATCTATGTTAATGGAAGATAGACAGAAAACTATGAATTTCGGCGGAGCTCAAAATCAATTAGAGCAACAGATCCAAGCTTTTATGGATAGATCAAACAAAAAAATTCAGCATTTAGAAGAACGATATCATCATCTATCCAGGACCTTCCATAGTTCATCAAATCCGTATGAGGTTCAAAGAACGGAGAGTGAGCAGCGGGTTTCCGATGACCCGTACGCAAATCATCAGTATTTCAATGCAAATACAGATTGTTATTGATGATCCTCTGGGGTTGAGCATTACTATGAAAATCCTTTTGCATACACTTATTCTCATCCGTATTACAGTCCAGACCTGAGTTCCAATTCCCATGGCATTGAGTATTACCATGGTGACTCGTATTCGTACTCTCCTTAGGTTCCATATGCTTATCAGGTTAACATTACAAATTCGGGTTTCTATTATGTTCAATTCGGGGATGGTTCGGTGGTGTCCATGACTGCCGCTGGGCTACAGAACTTGCACAAGTCTGGTTATGGGTATTTTGAGAACAAAATACAGGAAATTGATTACCCGTTGTCACACCTCCTTTTTTACACACCTACCCCGAAAGGTAATGTATAAGGGAGTTTTTCCATTTAAAGTAACATTATTCTAAATGGGATTATTTATTTATTTTTAGAGTCGCCACTTGGGATAGGATTAGCTTCTGGTGTCCCAAGTCACCGGTTTAATTTAAATCCCAAATCGAGGAAAAATTCGACTTCCCAATTGGAGTCTGCGAACCAGAAATTCTGAATAAGGAATTCTGTTGACCCGAGGGAAGGTGTTAGGCATCCCCAGATCCCGTGGTTCTAGCACGTTCGCTTAAATTATTATAAATGGCTAAAATCTAATTTTGTACATGTTCAAACCTATAGTGCAATTTTATAAATTTGTTTAACCGCTTTTAATTAATTTTTTATGAAGGTGAACGCCGTTTAAGAGCGTGTTTTTGGATCACGTCACATGAAATGCACCCGGATCCTCGACACCTCTTATTCAACGTTTTGGGATTTGGATTTGGGTCGCATGAAATGCATACCCAAGTTTAGGAAGGTAATATTATTAAAACAACGCGCCTAAAGCAACTACGCGTTTTTAACTTTGCGAGGGCCAAGGAAATTCGCTAAATGGCGCGCCTCGATTTCTAAGGATTTAAAATTAATTAAATGAGGGCCATGTATTTTAGAGATTTTATTTGGCACGGCACACCTCGATTTTAATTTTTCAAAAGGGACTTGAACTAAACTTTGGAAGGCTATAAACTATGTCTTACCTAATATGGCACGCCTCAAGCAAGCTACGATATTCATTTTTAATAACTAATTCTGAGATTATTGTAAAATCAATCATTGACTTATTGCGGAGAAAAGATAGGGCTTTAGCTAATAACATTTAAATCAATTATATGCAAATCATTATCCAAAGATAAGACATCAATTACAATTAATCATTATAACCTATCGCGCAACCCATTATTCTTCCTAATCTGCGTTTTTAAAGCAATAGATGGACTCACCCATTATCAATACCAAAATACCAATAACTCTGTTCTAAATTTTCCAAATCAGATGAGACCAAAAGTAGAATAAAGATTCAATATCATATTGAGTCCATTTTCTATAAACGTTGGGATGATATTCATAAGTGACACATCAAGCAATCAAACAGAACGGAGAGTTATTTAATCAACGGGAAAAGCAGATCAAGTAATGCAATTCCAATTGAACACAAAATTTTTGTCCTTAAGGTACCACAAGCAAGCAAGAATCCACTCCAATCTTTTCATTCAAACATCATATGAGAACAATATAAACTAAAATCGAGAAAAAGGGAAAGAATCGACCTCTGTTATTTCAACGAAACTTGACTTCGCTACATGACCATAAACGGAACCTCAAACGGAGATCGGCTGCAACTTCGAACCTTCGCCAAAATAAAACCTGAACGTCGATCTCACAAACTTGAACGAAGAAACGAAGCAAGGGCAGTAAACGAGATTCACAAACGGAATTCAAAGCTGGANCAAAACCTCTTAACAATGATTGAGCATCTAGGCTACATCCAATATACTCTGAACTACTGAAAAAAAAAAAGAATAAATTTGGATTGCTAGGATCATCTAGCTCTTCAAATCCAAAGTCTTCGAAATCAACCCGGAAAAATCATACGGCCACCAAAAGCTCTCTTCTCTCTCTTCAAAGGGCGATCAAATCCCCACACCGACGACTGCCCTTCATGGCCTCCACGGCCGGCGGCCAGCCTCCTCCTGAGGTTGGTCCGTCGACTGCCTCCCCCACTCAGCCGTTACCAACCTCTACAAACCCTAATCCACCTAAAACAAATGCGAATTTATTAAACCCCACTGTCAAAAATACGCCCATGCAAACCCTAGCTACGTTACCATTGAAATCAGTTGAGTTCTTTCATGGAGAACCAGTTATGAAGTGGAAGAAACAAGATAAACGAAGCAAGGGCAGTAAACGAGATTCACAAACGGAATTCAAAGCTGGACTCGTTGGTGGCTGCTGATGGTGTTTTCGGGTTTTCGCTCGTTTTTCCGGCGAGCTGCCGGGGGAGGAAGATGAAGAGAGCAGCAGCTGATTTTCAAGGTTTGGCGAGTTATGGTTAACGGGAAGAAACTGTGGTCGTTTTTTTTGTATTGATGTTGAAGAAACAAAATCAGAAACGGGGAGGGGAAGGTTGAAGACGGTGGTTCAGGGGGTTGGGGTCCTGTATTGCGGCGCTAGTCAGGTCTCCAGCTTTTGGCGTTCTTTTTATCCGTGTTTTTGTGGTGTAGGTAGTATTATATAGGGTAGGGATTAGGTTAGGGGTATGGGCCTAGGAACTATGGGCTAGGGATTTTGGGCCAAAGATTAAAAAAAATGGACTATAAGATTTATAAAAACGGGATAAACCAACCTAAAACTAATTCTTTCTTCTAAAATTATGTACAATTATAATATAAAAATATAAATTTAATTTTAATTAATTGAACTAAACTATAAAACATAAAACTATTTTTTTTTTGTGTTTTCAAGATTATAAAAATAAAGATAGGGTACTATTTTTTTGTAATTTTTTTTTAAGATTAAAAATGACTATAAAATATTAATAAACCTATTTTTTTTATAATTTTTTATTTTCTTGTAATAAAATAAAGTAAAATAGTAAAAATTAGTTGAAATGAGGATATTAGACCTAAATTAAATATTTACATGCTAAAATGAGTAAAATTTCGGGGAAGGTCAAAAATCACATGTCAACACCCGTGTGTTGAGACTCCGTTTATTTTGAATGAATTTGAAGCTGGAAATATTGAGGACGAAGGAGCCGTTTTCTCGGGGATTCAATCCGATTCAAGTATGGGGAACTGGGTCGAAAACCTGATCATGGGAATCGAAGGTGAAAATGCAGACAAGGTGTTTGACAATTGTACTGAAATAGCTAGGCAGCTTTTTCAAGAGATTTTAATTCCTGAAGGTGAGGTAGATGTGTTCGATGGAAGTCCCAAGAGAAATGATATTAACTTGACTACTGAATTTGCCAATAAGGAGTCGATTCTACTTTCGTTTAGTTGTGAAGACCATCTAGAGCCTATAGGGAAATTTAAGAGAAATGATGAACTCCTTGAAGATACCTTTTTAGGAGACAATTTTGGAGTTGTTCCACCAGATTCTAATGAAGGGTCCACTGTTTTTTATGGAATTGACGATTACCTTGTAGATGACAATGATTCTGCTTTTGAAGATAATGAGGTTGTAGTAAAAGACGATGAATGTCCTCAACATGGGGAAGCTGGATTAAATTGGCTTCAATTAGTAAGTAATAATGGTGGCCCTGTAAGTTTGCTTATGGCTGTTTTGGAACCAAATCGCTATGAGGAACTCACCAGTGGACTTGGTCTGGATTTGGAATCGAAGCCTATTGTGGATAGCAACAAAGGGTTGGCATACATTGGTGTTATTGACCGGGGTGTTATTGAGAGGTTTGAGAAAGAAGCTGCTGAGATGAACAAGAGGCCATTCTGGTATGCCTGGGTGCTTAACAAGCTCAAGGCAGAGCGAGAACGTGGTATTACCATTGATATTGCTCTGTGGACATTCGAGACCACTAAATACGACTGTACTGTGATTGATACCCCTCGACACAGGAACTTGATCAAGAACATAATTGCTGGTACCTCCGGAGCCGACTGTGTCGTCCTTATCATTGACTCCACCACTGGTGGTTTTGAGGGTGGTATTTCCAAGGATGGTCATACATGTGAGCTTACATTGCTTGCTTTTACACTTGGTGTCAAGGAAATGATCTGCTGCTGCTGCAACAAGATGGATGCTACCACCCCTAACTACTTGAAGCCTAAAGGTATTTACAGGGTGCAGGGTGAACTTGGAAAAATTGTTCATTGTCTTGGTGTCCAGCTTCCAAATGGAGTTTTATTTGTTGTTTTTCATAAAACTAGAGCTCCAAAAGTGACAGACCATTTTGAAGAGATGAGGAACATAAAGGCAACTCAGGGTATTGACCAATACGTCAAGGGGATTCATCATAACTTTGGCATAAATGCTTGGATTTTGCTGGATACTGGGCAGGGAACAAATGTGAAGAAAATGTCACCTGATTTTCTTGGCATGGTGGTGCAAAGCTTTAAGTCATTGCCTGTGCTTGCTCTTCTTTGGAAACCTAAAAATGAAGGCATTACAAACCTTCTATCCCCAGGAGGATCAATTGAAATTCTACATGTTTTAGATGCTCCAAAACTTGGTCTTCCTTTTATGTATTCAAAATACTTGATCGTGACCTTGCAGTACTTAATATCTCACTTGGAATTTCATCAATCTCTCGTTAATAGAAGCATTATTAGTGTCTTCTATGCCCTTGGCATTCAATCACACTCTCTTGAAGATATTTCGCTCGCTTATGGCAAAATGGAGGTTTCTTCTGCAACAGTTACTTTGGTTGAGATAGAGGAGAAAGATTTATTCCACACACACAATGTTGCATGTACTCAGTTGAATTGGTGCAAAAAACTGATGGAAAGTCGGAATTTGTTGGCTAATGTTTTGAGTTCATGGTTATGGAAAAGAAACATTCTTGTAGTAAGTCTTGCACTAGAAGGGCTTGTTGTTTCTGGTGTGGAAGTGTGTCAGCTCGAAGTCCACCAGCAGGAGCAGTATGTTGCTGTTGTTCGTGATGGATTGAAGGCATGGGAGATACTGAAGGAAATGCCTCATCAAATAAACCTTGTGTTGACTGTGGCCGAGCTACCATTATTATTCAAATTTGGACTTACTTTACTTGTGGAGCATAGCATTTTGGAGGTATGTGATTTTGATGGTTCTGTGGAAATGGTGCTCTATGTAGTATTTTATATACAGGAGATGTTGTTACAATTGATATGCAATCAGGTGTCTATTGGGATATGTACAACAAAGAAGGATCTACTTTGGAAGTACTACCAGTTAACTTCAAGTTTTGTGAAGTCATTGAAGGCTCATAAACCTGCCAAGTTGGAATGCATCAAAGACCTTTATGGAGTGATTTCCTTTTATTATGCTTTCAGGGTCCTATTAGATAAGCTATTTTGCCTATTTGAGCCTTTTCAAAGCAACTGGGAGACTGATGAATTAAATGAGTTAAGTAGTACTCAATTAGCTTATGCATCCACAACTGGAGGAAACACTTTGTGTAGTAGTATTATTCCCAACCGTGAGGATAATGGTACTTTTTCAGTGAAAGTTGATCTTCCTCGCGAAGAAGGCATCATAATCCAAATGTGTTTGGTTTTACAAGCAGTTCATGAAGTTGGTCTATATATTGTTGGAGACATTTTCAGGATGCTTATGCCTCAAGAGCCAGGAAGTTACTACAAAGCCAAGGGAGGCAACTGGCCAGTGCATTCGAGTGCTTTACTCTGCATTTTCCAACCTTGAGGACAAGGTTGTTATAAGGGGGATGGAATGTAACGAATGGAAATGAAGAAAATAGGCCCTAGTTTAGAATAATTACACTTGAGTCCCAAAAATAGTTGTTGCGTTGATGTTTTACCCCGAAGTTAGCTTTTTGCACTTTTTTCCATGTTCTTTAAATACCTGTTATGATTATTTTCAAAGACATGTTGAATGAAAATTGAGTCTTTTCCTTTCTCTGCATTTCATTTCTTCTTTTTAGTTCTTGTTTTCCATTTCCATGACGATTCCAACCTGGGAATCGTTACAAAAATCGCAGGCAAAGTTATGAGGATGGGTTGATTCTGAAGAAAATCGCAGGCACGGTGTATTCTAAGTAAAATACACTGTTCAAAAGTAAAATACACTGAAGAAAATCACAGGCACAATGTATTCTTCAGCTGTTCTTTCAGTGAATAAAAGCAGTGGGAGTATTTTGTTGATTAATGAAGAAGAAGAAGAAGCGAAGAACTTGATTAATGAAGAAGAAGCGGTGGGAGTATTTTGTTGTTGTTGAGGCGGAAGTTTCTAGGGCGAAAAAGATTGGGGAAAAATTGGAGGGAGTGTGAAATAAATTACCCGCTATTATTTTAGGGTTGCAGATGTTTTAGACCCCCGTAAATTGTATAATTTTGTGGGGGCTAATATATGGCCGCAAAATTATGCAAATTACGGAGGTTACTTATACCCTCCGCAAATAAACCTCCGCAATTTACCCGTTTTTTTGTAATACGAACCGATTTTTAGGTTTCTTTTAATAAAACCACAAGTTCTTATATAAATCTATAGTCGTATCGATAATTAGTGTAGGTTTTTTATTTTATGAAACAAACCAAAAAAGTACCGAACCGTACCTAATAAATTCACATGTGAAAAAGATATTTATATATTAAGTTCAAAATAATAAATCATTAAATTTTTCCTTGGGCTTGAAATTATGAAAATGGTTACAAGCCAACAAGTAATTAAAATCAAAATCATAATTCCCAAACCTATTATGCTACTCCTAGTGAAACTAAGTTATTTCCGGCATATTCACTAGTAAGACACAAAGTATTCTAGAGATTATGAGTAGCAAACTACTATATATTGAATATGTTTCCTTTTGTATGATTTGGATTTATCTTTTTGTAAATCTTCTATAGACTTTATTTTTGAGTCACAGCTGGGTTAATTTCTTTTTACTCGTGTGATTTTATCTTTTTTTTTTTTTTTAGTCTTTGCTTAGTTTCTTTTATGTTATTGTAGAGTAGTTGATGGATCTATACTCAGGTCATATTTCATGTTTTCTTAATTCATCACCATTTAAACAGTAAAACTGTCTAGAGAGTTTTTCTAAGTCCTATAAAAGTATGTATGTTATTGTATTCTACTTTTACTAGTGACTTTTACATGACATTTAAAAAAATACGGAAAATTAAACGAACCGTACTAATACCGAAGAGAAACCGACATGATTGGGACGGTTTCGAAAAGTCTAATTTTGGTTATACATAATAGAGTAACCGAAAAATTGGTATGGTATAAAATTTTATAAAATAACCGGCCGAACAGAACTGTCACGACCCAAAATCCACTAAGGGTCGTGGTGGCGTCGGACACCGCTATCAGGCAAGCCAACTAAATAATCAATTAAATTCTCCTTTTAATACCTTCGAAATCTAGGATTATTCCTTCCAGTTTTTCATAAATAAAAAGGTCACTACTTCAATTCAAATTAAATAATAAACAATTAGTACAAATCTTCCGAAAACCATCCCAGAACCCGGTGTCACAAGTGCATGAGCATCTACTGACAAGGAAAATAAAATACAACATCTGTCCGAAATACAGTGGACAGGGAATAAATACAATATGCTGAAAGGAACTACACTAGCTGCGGGTCGCCTCGAATAATGCAGCTCACCTAGTCCCAGAATCATCCGCGCTGCAACGCCCAGTAGGCCACTAGAGTTACTTATACCTGTGCAATAAAAATGCACAAAAGTGTAGTATGAGTACGTAATAAACGTGTACTCAGCAAGTATCCCGTCTAATCTCGAAGAAGTAGAGACGAGATGGTCAACTTTGACACTTACTAGAGGTCAATTGACAATATACTAAAAATGTGAGGAAATCATGGATTTATATAACAGTTCTAACTCACAAAGCTGGAAAACAGGCAATACATCTTCAACAAATAATAAAGGATTTTCAAGGTTTACTTTTCTTTATTTTATCAATTTATCTCAAGCCATGAAAGGCAGCATCAACGTATAAAACTCTCAGGCAACGATATATAAATCATGCGCAAATAATGCCGAGGCGACGGCCCGCTCCAATAGAAATGAAATGTGCACTTGCCGAGGGTAGACGACGCGCCTATAGATGCATCTATTTAATCTGCCGAGGCATTCGGCCCGTTCCAAAATGAACACATAGAGACATTCAGTCAAGAAGCCAACATGGGGCAATTATTCAAGGAAGAACAAATTCTCTTTTAACAAATTAAGAAAATGAGGTTTAGATCTTGTTAGAAATTCATTTACTATTTTGATGTGGTTTAAGCAATTCAACTATCCATAAGATTACAAATATTCAAAGTATAGCATGCTTTTGGGTCCTAGACTACCCGGATAATAGCATAATAGTAGCTACGCACGGACTCTCGTCACCTCGTGCGCACGTAGCCCCCACAAATAGGAGCACATAACCAATTAACTCACCTATGGGGACAATTCTCTCTTACAAGGTTAGAAAGGAGACTCACCTCACTCCGAAGATCCAAACCGGCATTCCACGCCCTTCCGAAGACTCTAACTGATGCACCACGCTCCAAAACTAGCCAACGGTTACGCAAATCTATTAATATATGCTCAATTATTCATTACAATCTAATTTATAGCAATTCCTAACTCCGATCGAAAAGTTGACAAAAATGCCCTCAGGCCCACGTGCCCGGATTCCAAAATTTTTCGAAGATAAAGATTACCCATGACCTTAGGAACTCAAATATATAATTTTCTCTAAATTTCATACCCAAAATCGTGGTCAAATTCCAAGAACAATAATTTTCTAGGTCTTCCCTCAAACCCCAAGTTTTTCTACAATTTTCATGCTCAAATCCATATATAATTGATGTATTTAACTCAAAATAGGTGGGGATAACTTACCTTATCACTAATGATGAAGATCCTCTCTTGAAAACCCTCCAAGAATCGCCCAAGTCAAGAAAATATGAGAGGAAATAGCCAAAATCCGATTTTTAAAACACCCTCACTGCCTCAGCAATTTCCGCTTCTGCGGAAATATTTCTGCTTCCGCGGTCCCGCTTTTGCGGACAAAATGCCGCTTCTGCGGACACTGGCTCCAGCCCAATTTTCGCTTCTGCGGACGGTCCACCGCTTTTGCGGTTCCGCTTTTGCGGATCTAGGTCCGCTTCTGCGATCCTGAGCTGCTTCACATCCAACCGCTTCTGCGGTTTCTTCCTCGCTTCTGCGGGGCCGCTTCTGCGGTCCCAATTCCGCAGAAGCGGAAATACCAGAAGCAACAGCTCCAGCCCTTCTTTAAACTCCGAATTCGATCCGTTAGCCACCCGGAATCCACCCGAGGCCCCCGGGACCTCAACCAAACCTACCAACCAGTCGCAAAACACATTACGGACTTGCTCGAGGCCTCAAATCATATCAAATAACGTTAAAACCATGAATTACACCCTGATTCAAGCTTTATGAACTTCAAAATTTCAAACTTCTACTTCCGATGTTTAAACCTATCAAATCACGTCCGATTGACCTCAAATTTTGCACACAAGTCATATTTAACATTACGGACCTACTCCAGCTTTCGGAATTGGATTCCGACCCCGATATCAAAAAGTCCACCTCCGGTCAAACTTCTCAAAAACCTTCAAATTTCTATCTTTAGCCAAATGGCTCCAAAATGACCTACGGACCTCCGAATTAACTTCCGATCGTGCCCCCAACTCCAGAATCACCATACGGAGCTATTCACAGTCTCGGAATCCCAAACGGACATCGATAACACTGAAATGCACTTCAAGCCAAACTTATGAAATTTTTTCTAAAATGCTAACTTCCACAATAGGCGCCAAAATGCTCCCGGGTTATCCAAAACCCGAACCGGGCATACGCCCAAGTTCGAAATCATCATACGAACCTGCTGGAACCTTCAGATCCCGATTCCGAGGTCGTTTGCTCAAAATTTCCATCCTAGTTCATTCTTTCACCTTAAGCTTCTGAAATAAGAATCCTCTTTCCAATTCGACTCTGAACTTCCTGGAACTTAATTCCGACCACGCGTACAAGTCATAATACCTGAAATGAAGCTGTTCATGGCCTCCGACTGCTGAACGGAGCGCTAGGACTCAAAACGACCGATCGGGTCGTTACAAGAACTATTGACACCCCTAGTCCAGCGGATACCGAATATCGAACCGTTACACCCAAAAAAAAATTAAATTGGCAGACTCTCTTTGGTATTCACTTGTTGCAATTGGTTCTGTACCCTGGCATAATATAACACTACCAAAAAATAGGAATTAGTTTGGTAGCTAAACAGAAAATTCGTCGCTAATTTTATTTAGCGAAGGATTAATGATATGATTATCAAGAAATTCTGTTAGCTACGAGCGATTTAGCAACGAAATTCGTAGCTAATTTTAGTATTTTTGGAGTGTAATGTATACTTCCAGAGTTCCATTTCCAGTTGTAATTGCTAGAGAAATTTGTTACAGTTTATTAGATTAGATTTTTTTAACTATATAAAAGGTGAAGGTTTTGGTACGACCAATGGCATTTCTGTTAATATGACCTACAATGAGGGCATACTATGGGTTTATCTTTCCAAAAATCTTTACGTGTCATTGATTAGAGACCCATGTCGCCACGCGGGTGAAAATTGGGTACATTTTTATCTCTCTCGGTCGTCTCCTTCCTCTTCTCTATGTCTGCTTTCTGGTGAGCTCTTCTTCACTCTACTCTCTCATAGTCTCATTTTTGTTCAGTTTGTTTCAATTTTTTTGGTTTCTTTCTGCCTATCACTTCTGAATTCTTCTGAAAGTTTGTCCATTTTTCCTTCAATTTTGGTTTTTCAACTTTTTTGTATAGTTTTTCGCCAGATCTTTTATATACAAGTCTGTAAGTCTATCTGATTCGCAGTGACGGAGCCAGGATCTCTACGAAGGGGTTCAAAAAAAAATTTTGTGGCTAGTGAGAATTGAACCTATAACCTTATAAAAGTTTTGAACCTCTTGACCACTAAACTACACTTCAAGGTTGTGTCAAGGTGTTCAAAACTTAATATATAGAGATAAAAACCAGATTTTGCCTTATATGCATAGTGAAATTTTTCGAAGGGGGTTCGATTGACCCCTTGCGCCCCCTAAATCCGCCCCTGCTGATCCGCACATGCATGGTTGAAAATAGTTGACTGGTGCATGTAACTGTATTATTTTGGATTACTGATTATCGATGTCTGTTTTACTTTTGCTTCTAATAAATTATTGAAAATCAAGTATATGAAAATCTGTAATTTTGAACTTGCTGTTGAAAGATTGGGTCTTTACAAAAAAAATTAGTTATTGACAGTATCGCTTATATTTATAGACATACTTTCATGGTGTTATTTTTTTTGTAATTATTATATACTACAGTTTGAGAAAATTTCCATTTTAATTGTTTTTTCTCTTCTTCTACTTTATTCTTTTTTTTCATTCTACACAATGTGATGGCATTCTAAACTATAAAGACCAATGAACCAAAGCTGTTCGGTGATATGCCTGAAACAACTTAACTATTTGGTAAGAACTTCATTTGTTTCTCTTTTGCTATTACTGAGTAAATTAGGGTTGCCTTCAATGGTGTAAAGTTGTGCATTCTTGTGAATTGGGGAAAAATTTTCATAATTTTTTCTTGAGTCTTTTATTGTAATTCTAATTGGAATAGAGTTCTGTTAAAAATAAGTTCTAATTTTTTCGCGTCATCTAATTAGTTAGGTTATGAGTCTTTGTTTGTTAATAATGGACTTTGTTGTTTACGTACTTTCACCGTTTTCCTAAATATCACATTTATATTTCTGCCTTACATATTCGTAAATCAACCATTGGTGCTCTAGACTTGGAAAGAATGTAAACTATACTACAAGCTGCAGACATGCTTTCGCATGTAAGGTAATACCCTCATTCTTACCTTCTTTGTTTCCAAAAGCCATATTCTATCTTACTTATTCAATAAATCATGTAGCAAAAAAAGGATGTAGGCTTAGAGAGTTGCATTATGGAATGCTATATGTGATTGTTTTTTCTCTGAAATTCATATGATGTGCTTTATAGTCCAACAAAGCAAGTAAAATTTTATTGTATAAGTGAAGATCTGCGAAATTGGATGTAGCTATGTACAACATAGAGGCTAGGTGTGCTACCTCTTAGGACTTTGTATTCTCAAGTGGCCATTACTCTTTCAAGATAAAGCATCCATACATGGTAAGATTTGAAGTTTTAAAGTTTGATTGCTTTAACAGCTTACTGCCATGTTTATTAATGAGATAAATTGGTAATTGGTTATGCTGTATACTGCAAAAGGACTCTGGGACATTAGAATTGGTGTAAATTAAAAAATGGAATGGTTGTTGCTCAGTATTGACTTAAAGCCTTAAGTTTGTTCTCGATATGAGCCTACAGAATGCTGCCAGATAACAAAGTAGCACATTTGGAGTGCCGAAAATTGTTTCCATTGCTTTTGTGGATTTGCTTATTCTTGGCAAATTTCACCTAGCTATCAATAAAAGCATCTGTACAGGAAGAATTAATAGTTTTTTCTATTAAGACAAGCGTTAATTTCCTTTGGATAACTGATAATGTTTAAGAACTTACGAAGAATTGGCATATCCCTTTGGTTTATTAGAGGGCCAAAACATAGCATTTTTTCTAAGATCTTAAATTAGTTGATGGATGAACAAAGGTCTTTCTGGCTCATGTCTGTTGAATATGCTTGATACAGCTGATATGAAATATGATAATTTGGCTCCAAGTTGATCATTTTAGAGGTAACTTATAGACCATATTTTCTTATCTTAATACTTTCCGCATGACTTCACGCAATGTTAAATTAGCTGTCATATTTTTATTGGTGTGAAAGTGTTTCTTTATTTTTTGAGAAATAATGTTGATGTTAAACAAATTTAGAAGTGAACAACAACCTATAAACGGGGCTACTCACTGAGGCATCTCTATACTGAAATAGCAAGAAGATTATAATTTTTGCATAAGATGACTAAGCCTCCTATATATAATGGGGTTCTCAATTTTGCTGTTATACTCCTCATAGAGAACTATGAATCCAACATGGTTGGGTTGTTCACAAAAAAGTGTGACACTGATACTCTATATAATTTTTTTAATGCATCATCTGGTCTGTTGATTTTATATCTTGAAATTCTTTTACGCCTAAAATAATCAAGAAGCTGGAGATTTCATCTTTATGCAAGAACTCGAAGGCAAGGTTCTTTTGCATCTGCTTGATGCCCTTAATGAATTTTATTACTTCAAAAAAATAAAAAAGGACTTCAAACAAGGAAATATATTTTGGATGAACTCGACAACACTGTCAGAAAATATCAAATATGTATAATACCAATTTCAGTTTCCTCCATTCTATGTTTTAGCTCAGATCTTTTTCTGATATGAAACATACTTGCATATAGCTTCGGGGTTTTGAAATGTGATGCACAATTCATATTGAGTCAAAATCTCTATGACATTGCGAGAGATTTGATCATGCCTGCGCTCAAACTGGCATAGCTGCTTGACCATTATAAGGTATTTTAAGTCAAAAATATTTCCTTTTTTGGTAACAATGATTGTTATACTTTCTGTCTTTACTATTTAATAGCATCTACTATCTTATAATTTTCAAGTCAAAGAGGTAAGAACCAAATCGGAAGGACACCTTTAAAAAGTTAGCTTTCTGTACTAGAACTTGTGAGATTGACAAAGAGAACATTGGTTTTGAGAATTTATTGATGGGGTAAGTGATAGAGAAGAAAAATTAGAAGGAAGATAATGATTTTTCTACAACTGAGTGCTCTTCTGTGGAAGAAGGTGAACACACTGCCATTATTTTATCTCATTATTATAGAAGCATTGTCACACTGATAATGTATAAAAGTAATTACAATTAACATGTGTGTTCACTGAACTTAGACTGACATTTTCTATTACTCTTCTATAAGCCGAGTTACTGAGTATTATATTTCATGGTTTAGCAACTGTTGTATTAGGACTTGGTTGACATGTTTCATAAATTGCTAATAAAATATATTGGACGTTTTCTTGGATGATTTTCTAACTCTCCATCCCCTTCAAAACACTATGATGTATATACACAGGGGTGGATTAGGGGGGCGAAAGGATGTTCACCCGAATCCCCTTCGTCGAAAAATTACATTGTATATATGAGTCAAAATCTATTTTTTACCTCTATATATTATGTTTTGAATCCTCTTGCCCAAAAGTGTATAGCTTAGTGATCAAGGGGGTTCAAAACCTTTGTAAGGTCATTGGTTCCATTCCCACTAGCTACAACCATTTTAACTTTTTTCTTTTTTGAACTCCTTTAGCATTAATCCTGCCACCGCCACTGCCACTGTATATACATTGATGGGTATATTTCTAAACCTTCCTTTGTCTCTCTTTAAAGGGTACAACATATTGGTCCATTAGTCGTACGAGGGACTACAGATAAATCTATGAAACAGAGATTTATAGATAAATTGTGATTACGGCTCTGAAATTAAAGTGTGATCCTCTGCTTATCCACGTTACCAAGAGAAATGTTTTCCATTTATGGCTTATTTGTTGCATTTTAGTATTCAATAATTTTGTATCAATGCTTCCATGTTAATGTACTCTACATGTTTCATGAATTTAAAGCTTAATTTTGATGGGTAGAGCCTTTTTGACGAAACCTTTTCCTTCAGAATACTAACTAGAAGTTCAATTTGTGTAGAACCACTCCATCCTAATATTTGTTGGTGAAGATGACATATTTATGAACGTGTATTTGCATGAAACAAACAAAGAATTATAACTATGCAAGTTTTCTTAAGTTCATTATTGCAACTATCAATATGTTGCTGACACTCCTTTCTGCCATTGACTTTCTCCGAATTGGTGCTTCCAGTACTAAAAAAATAGTGCTAGTAATTTTTGCTATATTTTAGAGTAGCTCTTCTTTCGATTAAACATGGAACAAATATGGATGCTGAGGACAAGCAAGGGTGCAGTTGAACAAGCTTCGGATGAGCCCAACATCAAATCTAAGACGACGTTTTGGATGTAAAACCATCTGGTGTCATTAGCCACTCAATATATTCAAGGCAACTTATGTAAATGGTTGCTGTGAGGTGTGCTCAAATTTGTGATATTGGCTGCTCCTGGTGCTTGTTAAGTTAGTACTTGGTAATTTGTGTTTTTTAGACTGATAGGTTGGTTAGTGTTGGACTTATCTTTGAGATAAGTGCTATAATTTTTCTTTATGAAGAAGAGTTAATTAGCTCTTTAGCTTCCAAATTCAGCTTAGAGTGTGGATTGGAGTATTGATCGAGCAATTTGATCAAAACATTCTTTGATGGTATATTGGTATATCTGCAAAGATGATCCTTATTTCCTTTATAGCCCAAATGTCCTCAATGACTTTTGCAAGAGCAAAGTTTTAAAATTTTAGTGAGGTTCACTCGTCCCATCTTTACATTCTACCAAACTATACGACATAAACAAACAATAATGTGAGGCATACGCCCGTGCTTTTAGCAGGGGCACACACCATCTAGTAACTAAATAATAAGTGAAACTTTGTTGGACGATCAAGGGTAAAATCGTAATTTTGTACGTTAAACAAAACGCTCCTTCCACTTATTTTCAGCCTTCATGCCCGTTTCTTCGACAATTTTCTATGTGTTGCCTCCCAGTTCTGTTAAACAACAATGAAGGCCAAAAATAACAGATTTAGGTGAAGATCTGGGTCTACATCTCTAAACACCGCGAAATCGGATCCCTAACTCTGCCTTAAAGTTCTTGCTAAGGTATTTCGGTAATTAAATCACAAACTGGAGGGCTAATTGTTACCCATAGCAGTTCTATCTTACACTATCCTGGTTCACTGGGACCATTTATGGTTCCACGTGTAATGGCAGATATTTGGCTGCTTCTTTTAACATTTGTTAGCAAGTTTTACTGCTCATTTTCATTTCTCACTCTCTCTCGGTTCTTTCGCTCATCTCTGTTGTTCATTTTCTCTCTCTCTCCAGTGAATTCTTCTTGCTCTTCTTTTTTGTTCAGTTTGTTCTTTTCAACCTTCTGGTTCCTTTTCTTTATATTTTTATTTTTTATGTTATCTATTTTCGGTTTATTCACATGCATGTGCTCACTTAATTATTTTCTGTCAATTTCATGTTAATCGCTGGTAGTTAGGAGAACTCAATGAGAATGCAGAAAGCCTCTGTAAAGAGGAAGCCCCCCAAGATCTGTACAACACTTATGTTCTGCAAATGTTTTTCGTTTCCTTTCAACTTATTGGTGTTCTGTCTTAGAGTTTGCGAAATAAGCTACTTCACCATTTCTAGCATAAGGCAATTTTTTCTGGATTTAAAGACTTAATTAGGTCACAAGAAAATGATGTGCCAACTATGTATTAGGCGATTGTTGTTCAAGTAGTCTATCTCAAATTAACAGCTCAATTGAATTTGCATCTATTGGATTTTAGCTCCTATTTGTGTTTGATGAAACTTTTTAACTGATGTTGATATTCGACTTATGTGATCCTATAAGACCTAATTTGGGGGCTATAATCTGCACTACAGAAAACATCCCTGTCACGACCCAAAAACCGACCCGATCGTGATGACGCCTATCGTGGAACTAGGCCAGCCCCTTATTTCCAATTACTCCATTTCTCAATTTTAAAACTTAAGAAAAATCGCATTTTTAACAGAAATCCAATAAGATAAAAAATAGAAATCCAAAACCAGCGGAAAGAAATACAAGCCCGACCTCGGGTGTCACTAGTCATGAGTAAAAGTACTACAACTGTTCGAAATAGACAAGACTACATTGTCTGAGAATATCTAACAATTATGCTAAGAGGAAGATAGTGAAGGAGAAGGCGGAACTGCGGTCGCCAAGCAGCTACCTCGCAATCTCCAAAGAACAGTCCACAACGATATGATCAATAGCCACTACCGTGACCCGAAATACTTGGATCTGCACACAAGGTGCAAGGGGTAACGTGAGTACACTAACTCAATAAGTAACAAGTCCAACCTATGGACTGACAGGTAGTGACGGACCAAACCTCAACAAGTAATAACATATAACTGAACAGGAAAGTAGACATGCTTACAGTTCAAGTAAAGCTCGACAGTATTTAAATGCAACTAAACAGTACGAAGTTCAAAACTTAGAGATTTTAATCAATGTTCCATGAACCTCCACTCACAAGTGCACAACCACTCGGTACTGTATATGGCCATTCTGCCTAGGGAAGATCCATCCCGGAATATATATCACTGACCGCAGTCATCCAGTACCGAGGACACAGGCCAATCCAGCCTCACGGAGAAGATCCATCTCTCGGTATAATACTTCGGACAAGATCCATGTCTAGGGAAGATCCATCGCTCAATATCATCAACTGCGCTCACTGGGGGTGTAAAGACTCCGGAGGGGCTTTTCTCGTTAGCCCAAGCGCTATAACAAAGCCAACGGAGGCTTGTTCAATATTTCGCTGCGGCGTGCAGTCCGATCCCATACTGCCACTCAATATAAGGCTCTCGGCCTCACTCAGTCATAACTCACCAGTCTCACACACACGGGCTCAAAATGTCATGACACTAGCCCGGACAATAATATGATGTGTCAAATAGCAATAACCGAGAATGAGACATGATATAATATTGCATGAATAGGACTGAGTACAGAATATCAACAAAACAAATGATATGACAGCAAGAAATGACCTCTTGGGTCTCAATAATATTGGCGTGAAGCCTTAACATGATAATCAGCATGATTCACAGCTCATCAACTAAATCACATAATTATAATACAGATATCGGTAAGAAAGAACCACTAAGCGGTGCTCTAGAATGATCCAGGCCGCGTTTCTCATGGTGCACGCCCACACGCCCGTCACTTGGCATTGCGTCACCTTTATAATAATCATAGAACACATAGTTCAGAGTTTCGAACCCTCAGAACCAAGATTGGAAGCGTTACTTACCTTAAGCTAAGCAAAACTCTAGCTCGCGACGCCCTTTCCTCTCGATTCGGCCTCCAAATGCCTCGAATCTAACAAAAATTAGTTTATAAACATCAATATACGTTAAAGGAGTGAAACTCATACGAAATTAATCAAATTATATCACAAATCCTGAAATTGACCAAACCCGACCATCGGGCCCACATCTCGGAATCCAGTAAAAATACATCAATAGAATCTTTATCCTCCCACGAGCTCATACATACCAAATATACCTAAATCCAACTACAAATGACCCCTCAAATCCCTAAATTTAGGCCTCCAATTCCCAAGCCCTAAACCCCCAATTTTTGCTACTAAATTCCATAGATTTCAAGTTTAATCAGTCAAAAATCACCATAGAAACAAGTTTAGGGTCCAGAAACCTTACCTCCACGAAACCTTCTTGAATTCCCTCTTCAATTTGCTTTCCCAAGCTCTATCCCGTATGAAAAGTGATGAAAAATAAATCAAAATCGCGAAGGCCTCAATTTATATGTTCTGCCCCAGCAAAACCGCATATGCAGTCAAAATTCTCGCACCTGCGGACCCGCACCTGCGGTCCCAGGTGCGCATCTGTGGAATCCACTTAACCGTTCCAGGACCGCACCTGCGATCAAAATCTCGCACCTGCGCCATTGCAGGTGCGCCTAAAATTCCGCATCTGTGGCTCCAGTCATTCATTCCCTAGGCCGCATCTGCGTTCCCTTCTTCGCTTCTGCGGGACCGCAGGCGGTTATGACAGGAGCTTCAGCACTTCAGCTGCTAATTCCAACTCTAAACCTCCCGTCGACCACCCGAAATCACCCCGAGGTCCCCGGGACCTCAACCAGAAGCACGAGCAAGTCATATACCACCTTCCAAACTTAAACCAATCTTCGAAACACCTAAAACAACATCGAAAACATCAAATCAACCACGGATTCAAGCCTAAGAACTCCAAAAACTTCCGAATTCTGCTTTCGATCAAAGAGTCTATCAAACCTCGTCCGAATGACCTGAAATTTTGCGCACACATCCCATATGATACAACAGACCTACTGCAACTCCCGGAATTTCATTCCGACCCCGATATCAAAATGTCCACTCTCAACCGGAAAACGCCAAAAATCCATTTTCGCCAATTCAAGCCTAAATCTACTCCGGAACTCCAAAATACATTCCGATCACGCTCCTAAGTCGCAAATAACCTCCCGAAGCTATCCGAATAATAAAAACCAAATTCCGAGATCGTACGCTCACAAGTCAACTTCCGGTTGACTTTTCCAACTAAAGGACCAACTTAAGAGACTAAGTGTCTCAAACCTTTCCAAAATCGTTCCGAATTCAAATCGACTAACCCGATACCATATAACACAGATGAACAAAGCATAAAGAAGCAGAAATGGGGGAAAGGGAGCGGTAACTCATGAAACGACCGGCCGGGTCGTTACATCCTCCCCCTCTTAAACAAACGTTCGTCCTCGAACGAGTCAAGAAACATACCTGAAGTCTCAATAGGTGAGGATATCTGCTCCGCATCTCTCGCTCGGTCTCCCAGGTAGCCTCCTCCACGGGCCGACCTCTCCACTGAATATTCACTGAAGCTACATCCTTTGACCTCAACTTTCGAACCTGACGCTCCAAAATGGCTGCTGGCTCCACATCATAAGTCAAATCACCCTCTAACTGAACCGTGCTGAAATCCAGAACATGAGACGGATCTCCAATATACTTCCGGAGCATAGAAACATGAAATACCGGATGCACACTCGACAGGCTGGATGGCAAAGCAAGCTCATAAGATACCTCCCCAATCCTCCGAAGCACCTCAAAAGGCCCAATGAACCGAGGACTCAATTTACCCTTCTTCCCAAATCTCATAACACCCTTCATGGGTGAAACCTTCAGTAGAACCTTCTCCCCGAACATATAGGACACATCATGAACCTTCTTGTCAGCATAACTCTTTTGTCTCGACTGTGCTGTACGAAGCCTCTCCTGAATCACCTTCACCTTGTCCAAAGCGTCCTGCACTAAGTCCGTACCCAAAGCCTGGCCTCACCCGGCTCGAACCATCCAACTGGAGATCTATACCGCCCCCCATATAGAACCTCATATGGAGCCATCTGAATACTCAACTGATAGCTGTTGTTATAAGCAAACTCCGCGAGCGGTAGAAATTGATCCCATGAACCACCGAAGTCAATCACACAAGCGCACAACATGTCTTCCAATATCTGAATCGTGCACTCGGACTGCCCGTCCGTCTGAGGGTGAAAAGTTGTGCTCAACTCAACCTGAGTACCCAACTCTCGCTGCACGACCCTCCAAAACTGCGAAGTAAACTGAGTGCCCCTATCTGAAATGATGGAAATTAGGACACCATGCAAGCGAACA